AAAAAAGGTTCTCACAATTTCAAAGAATATTGGGATCTCATATCAAATACAACTTAAACAGCCTCAAAGGCGGGAAAACACAGGTGACCTAGTTGCGACTGGTTTAATTTTTGCTTCTGATTGGTTGAGAGTCGAGGTAATGACGACAGTTTTCTTCACCAATCACAGAGCGATGCAAAGTATGGTCAGTACGAACCGGATGCAATTCAGTAAAATTGCCTGACTATTCCAACATCATGACTTCCAGGTGAGAATTGCTAAACAATCTTACCAACTGGATTTGTAGAAGTCTCCTTCCCTTGCTGATGCATACGGTAATGTCTCGTCACTGTTCCATGGGCAGCTTCAGCTTCAACTGTTTTTCCATCAGGACACACCAGAACACTGGTCATCATACCGAGTGAACCGAATCCTGCAATGCGCACAATTAATTCTTAAAGTTAAACAGCTACACTCTGATTAATTCACAGGAAAGGGTCTAAACACTGCCATACTGAGTATAATATTTATTAAACAAGTCAGCAAAAATGAGTTTTGCCTAAACTTATCACTGACTGGTTGGCTAGCCAGCTGGCAAGAATGAATGGCACTTTAGTCAGACTAATGGCCAACATGGGTGCCTTAGAATTTATCAACACAGAGTTAACAAAAAATAAATTGTACAAAATGAAGCCGTTTCTTCAGGCACACATCCTACCTTGAGCAACAGAATCTGACTGTACATCCCCATCATAGTTTTTACACGCCCACATGAAGCCACCTTCAGACTTGAGAGCATAAGCTACCATGTCATCAATCAGCCTGTGCTCATACCACAAGTTCTTTTCTTCAAACTTCTTTTTGTAGTCCCTGATTAAATAAGAACATGGCAGCACGATTAAACGCATGCAGGTACAGTAAAGAACTGGATGTATCATAACAATTTATAATGGTAATAGGACCAAGTGGAGTCCTATTCAGTATGTACTCATAAAGTGATAAACAAAATGGGATGATTGCAAAGTGGGTGTCCAAGTTGTCAATCACAAGTGTGATTAAAGACAGAATTGGATGACACAAAATCCTAATACCAATTAATCATAACCATTAGAATTTCCAAAAACAACAAATAATACATTTAGGCCAAATATATGCAGTAGAATCAATGTCTAAGTAAAAACTTCCTCAGTTTTGGAAGTTCCACAGTTTTTTCAGGATATATGGTTGTTGCTATGGTTATTGTGATCAATTCTGTGATTGGTGGATATGGCTGAAAGGACTGAGTATGATTGGCCGCTTCAACTGTGAGATTACAGGTGTCACCTTACAGCCAACTTCCTGATTACACTGTCTGATTACAACTGTACAGAATGATTAGCAAAAAACAAAGCACCTATCAAATCTGAGGAAACTGTTTTAAGATTAGACTCAAATTTGAAAGTCATACCTTTTTAGTTAGCTGCTTCCCTTATCAAAGGGGTACAAGGATGTATGGCTTGGTAATCTTGATTTCAGAATCAAGGCCAAACCACAACACCTGGAGCTACCTTCCCTAATCTTTGTGTTAAGTCTGTGGGTCCTCTAATGTCCCAAGCTAACAAGTGCAGTGAGGATGCAGGAGACAGGGCTTACCATTCTTTGTTCTTATCTGACGAGACTAGAATGTCTAACCATCTGCAGATATAGCAAAGGCAGCACATTCTTCTCAATTATTTTAAGACCATGAGTGTTGGTACAGTCTAAGGCTCGAACCCTTGACCTCCCACATGGCAGTCCAGCACTCTACAACATGAGCTAGCCAGGCCATGGCTAAAAAGAAATATGGGCTCTTTAGCTCAAGCTTGGATCTCTTGATTCAGAATCTAGGACACAAACTACTAGGCCACTGAAAATGACACCCTGGTCCCTCAATGGAGATTTTTTTCAAAAGGCACTTTTGGACTTACAAAAGTGGCTACCAAATAGGAGTTTGACTGCATCTAATGATAAAATCATGGGAAGATGTTGAATATGACTTACTTTTCATAGATTTCTTGGAAAATATCCTTGAATCTACCATCATACTTTTTGAGAATTGTATTTTTTGTGCTTTAAAAAAAGAGAAGAACCACAATCAAGAAGATGTCTTTCAATGAAGTTTAAGAGCAAAAAACAAAACAAAACAAACAAACAAAAAAACCAGAACTTTTTGTGGACACACTGAGCAGTAACAAGTTTAAAGATACCAACCAGTAACTGGCTGTATTGAATAATTGCAGATAATCGTTACATCTATTTTAGTTACAAAGATCACTATTACAAAAAAATCATCATTAATGATGATAACTTCCATTCATTCAAAAAATGAAAACATGAACTTTAAGTTAAAAATTGAATTATAATATAGCAAAATTATGTAAACTATTGCAACTTCGGGAAATTTAGAATCTTTTATCATATTTTTACCTCATGTATAAGGGATACTCCTTCTCAAGTGCATATTGAAAAGAACTGTGGGCAAAGTTCTTAATGGACTGAGGATAAACAAATAATTAATACTTAGATATTTTGTCTTCTACTGATAGCACCAAATTAGAAATAACTCAATAAATCCTCAAATGAGAACAGCAAACCTGGTTTGATAGTAATGACTGTTGATAAAATAACCAACTGTAAATAATTTGCCCACTCCTATAATGGTTAAAAATCTTACGTTTATTATTATCTATTTAATAAATGTATACTGACAGGACCACACAATCTTAAATTTGGTTAACCTTTTAACCCCTTAGAGTGATAAGCATCAAATTTCTCCCAACAGTATCACTCTTAAATCAAACACTAAGGTCATGAGAATAAACAAAATGATCGCAAACTCATGGAAAACAGCAAGGAGAGCCTGCAAACAGATGTCAGGGCATAAAGGGTTAACACTGCTGAGGAAGGCTGAGATCAAAGCTGGGTGTATCACACAAATTGTGTATAAATTGATGCTAAGAAAATTATAATACCATTCTTTTCCAATTGCTAACTCAGTTTTATCCCATGTTACATGTTTACCTCATCAGTGTTGAACATCCCCATTGCAACTCCACCACCATCAGAAAATTCATGTACAACATATTTCACTGGTTCTCCACCGTCAGCAGGAGTGTATATCATCTCTACTTTACCCTTGCCTGGGACAACAAAGTCTGTTGCTTTGTACTGGGAAGGAAGAAACATGCGTTTAATTAATTTGGAATAAAATTTTAAATCATATGTATAACATATATCAGTAAGTACCAAGTTGTTAATCCTGTTGAAAACTTTATTACTGAAAGCTCAGTCATTCCCTAAGTTTGTTACCTTTGTTCACCAAATCACTTTGTTATTGCTACTGAAAACCACATTTTTTTTTCATGAATGAATGTTCTTTTCAGTTTACCATAAAATTATGTTAATATGAAGACCAGTGGAATCCATAACATACTTGGTCTAGCTGGTAATTTGATAATCAATGCCACTTCAAAGCCTTTTACTTTGTGTGACCAAGGCAGAATTTGTCCTCATAATTAATCAATACAAAATCAAGCAGACAAGTGACAAAAATAAAGAAACATATCAGTTAGAAAATTATTAGTTGATCCAGTGTCAAGTTCTCTGAATTAACACCACAAGAATTGCATGGCAAACATTAACAAAAATTACTTATGTGATATTTTGAGAGTGAAAGGGTTAAGGCCACTTACAACATCCCAAAACAATAAACATGCCATGAATTGATGGAATCTACTGATTAATAATTTTTTATCTCATTTACATTTTTAGAGCATCAATACCTGATCAGCATGAGCATGGCGACCAATGATTATTGACTTCATCCAGCCGGGAACCAACCTTGGAATGTTTTTGCAAATTATTGCTTCTCTGAAGACAGTTCCACCAAGAATGTTTCGAATTGTCCCATTGGGAGATTTCCACATTTTCTTCAAACTAAACTCTGAAAGTCAAATAAATTTAACAACAAGATGAGTGCCACATACTTTAGATTGAATTTTGTTTGATGAAATAATTACTGTTAACAATAATAATAATAATAATAATAAATTACAATAATTAACAATTTGTTTTCACCAAGTGGAGGTGAATAGTGATGGGTATTTACTGAACTGCCAGGCAGCAAAGTAAATATCCATCCCTTTCACTGACTGTGATGTGAAAAACTGTTTTTAATTAGTATATACCACACAAAAATTGTTGGAAATTAAACTATCAACACACATAAACTTGTCTTATCCACTACTCAGAGGTTAATTGTTAACTTGCTAATCACTCCTGAACTAGCCAATCAGCCAGTACGAAAATTACTCTTCACTTGTGTGGTTTGTGATAAAGCATTAACAACAATAAGGGATAGCAGAATTATTACCATAAAAAAGGATGAAAATGGTATTTATAAGCTGGGGCTCATGACCCTCTGGTCTAACAGCTGCTGTTATTTTTAACAGAGAATTGGGGTACAGTTCCATGAATTTCCAGATTGTTTTAATTGATAATACATGTATATTGTTCCTTTTGTCATGTCTTCCATTATAACAAAACACCATGCCACATTCATCCCAGCTTGTACTTTTAACCCCTTAGCTTCTGTGAGTGACCAAGACAGTTACAAGACCAAGTTACAATATCAATACAGTATCCAGCAAACATGCGATGAGAAAAAGGGAAAATATCAATTAGGGGATTATTTGTTGACCCAATATCAAATTCTCTGAACTAAACTCTTAAAAATTGTGTTGCAGACTGCAAGGAGAATAACAGTACTAAAAATTCTTGGGAGCAAAAGGGTTACAGAAGATAAATAAAAAATAACTATTAAGTATATATATGTTTCAAACAACTGGCATGATAGTACAAAATAAGAACTCAAAATTAAACAGCTATAGCATCTTTTTAATCCATCTTAACTGAACTGAGTGAAAAATTGCAAGTAAAATTGCATACTTCCAGACTCATTTCTTGGGAAAGTTGCTGGCCCCTATCAAAGTTGGTCACTAAAGTACCATGTACAAACTGAAAATTGACAACATGGTACAGGAAAGAGAGGCAAGATAGGAACACAAGTAGTGTTATATAGACATGTCCCAACTTATTAACTCTGAGGGTGTAGTATGCTCTGATCAAGGCTACCCACCTTCCACTCGTTTCTCATCTGGAGTGATGGTAGCACACTTTATTCCTACACTGTATTTTCTTACTGCCTCTGCAGCTTCAACAGTGACTGAGGAGAAAAGCTTCACTTCATAAGATAAAATTTCAAAATTTCAGATTGTTAATAAATTAAGTTACAATTTTTTTTAATAGAGCAGGAAGGGGGAAACTGATGCATGTGTAAATATGTCTAACTATGTCTACATATAGAGGTATAGTTGTATAAATTGATGGTGTCAAATTTGGCAAACATTGATTAAAAATAAAAATAAATGTATGGATTACAATGTCTGTATTATAATGTCTGTAACAATTGATTCATACATCAGCATGCGTTCATCAAGATATGAAGCACGTGGGAAGTTTGGAGAGCACAAAAGATGCGTAAGAGTTGCTAGAGGCATAGCCAAGAGCAATTCTAGCTTCTTGAGTGCCCTCCAAACTTCCCAAATGCTTCATATCTCAATGAACACACAGTTGATGTACGAATCAATTGTTTTATAACATTTTCAACCTGATGGAAAATTTTTTTTTCTCAAGGGATTTGTTTGCTGATGTCATGAGCGTGCACAATAGGAATATGAAGCATGCTTGCATAATTGAACTTGATTACGCAAATTTACTAGCTATGTTATAATACAACTTTAAAATCAAATATATTTTTAATTTTTGTACCTCTGGGGTTTGATCTTAACACCCTCTAAATAACAGATTTGATCTAATCACTCCCTGTTTGTGAATAATGCATGATTCAAAATGTCCATTATTTCTAGGAGCTGATGGGTTCATAAAAACCCTTAAACAAATTTTTGCTGTGACTCAAATTTTTGTTTCTTTTTTAATTCAAAATTTTGAATAATTTGGTATTTAAAACAAAGGAAACTAAAAATTTGGCTAGTCCAAGATATTTTGACATGAGAAAAACTTTTAGCTAAAACATATGCATGTTCTGATAGATTGAGAAGTGTAAACTTCAATAAAATGAAATAATATACCTTTGTCATCTGTTTCATCCCTGTTCTCAATGGAAAGGTCATAAGACTTCACATCTAACTCCACATATGGAAATATTAGTTTATCTTTAATGAGCTCCCAAATAATCCTTAAAGAAAAGGGAAAATAAAGTCAGGTGGTATTTATATCAGCAATCACATGATTTCAAGTGCAATTTGCAGTTACTAGGCACAAGTAAATTTTTCCAAGACAACAAAATTAAATGAGCCCATAGGACAAGTGCAATTTGTAGTTTTTGAACAATTTAGAAGTGCTTCACGCACCAAAATGCCAGATGAAAAAACATCACAGAAAGTCAAGACAAACAAATTTTTGAAAGTGTGCGTGCATTGTTTGTAAATTGCATTTGTGTTACAACTTTGCTCTTGTGTTATAACTAACTTTGCACTCATGTTACATGAGAATGCACTTATTTTCAGCTATAATTTTTTCATGTACATTATTAGATTGGGAAATTCTTTGACATGCAAATAGTTAGTTAGAATATGAGAACATCTCACATCTCAAAAGCATGACATATTCCTGACCTTGTGTTCAAGGGCTGTATAACACTATTCAAGGGATCAATCTCTATCCAGTGGATAGGGCTATCTAACCTTTGCATAACTGAGGTCACATTGGGAATAAGAACCGCAAGAGTAGAGTATTCTGCCCACAAATGCAACAAAATGATTCCATGCAAACATCAACCATTAGGGTTTAAAAAAAACAGTTACTAGCAGCTGCATGTGAGTCCTCTGACAGCCATCTTTTTGACCTGCAAGCATAGGCACTAGTGTCTGGGTTTTGCCTCACTACCCCTTTTCAGGCACAGCCCCCTACTATAACATTGCTGGCTGGTTGTTAAAAATTTAAAGTTCTTGAAACCAAGACCTGAAACCCATGCAGATCTTTCACTCTCAAGCCCATGTGAAAATCATGAGGTTACCATGTCTTTCAAATTACAACTACCCATCTACCACAAAATTGTGGTAGATGGGTAGTAATTTATACACCACTCTTCCATCTACCACAAAATCGTGGTAGATGGGTAGTAATTTACACACCACTCTTCCCACCATTAGGATATTTTTAATATTGCACTTCTAAGCCAAACAATAAAACCTCTCAAGGGATCTAAAATTAACATGTCCAATATATAAATAACAATAAATTGTTGCAGCAATTGGTTCAGTCTCGCTATAATTACAGCTACTGAGCTCAGTATCTGAAGATCAAACTATAGAGGAATTTCCAATGCACAGTTGCATCAGCGATTTCCTCCGTTATTAATATTCCGGGTTGGAAATTTTTGTCTCGGCTTAAATGATATATTCGTTTGGCAGTAACTTTAATCTATCTTCGGACGTATTTATAAACAAATTTTTAACGGTGTACACCGAAAAATAAACTAACTTTAAAAAGCAATATTGCACATAAATAAAAAAAAATCAAGGTATGTTTTCACTACCAAATGAGATGGTGAAATAAACGTCTCGTCAGGGCATGGCCTTCACAATCTTGTCACGAAACAAATTTCAAAATTAGTCAGCGAAAACTGACACTCCCAGCCATTGTCACACACAGTTGGTTCGTCCACGCGAGTTAAATCAGCATGTAATATGTACAAAATCGGCAATTTCAGTCCAATATTTTTAATTCATCGTCTGATGAATGACAATTTCTGTGAAAAAAAATCCTACAGATCTTAGCTAAAAAGTCAAAGCACATTTAAATGTACATTTCTTTTAAATTTGACCCTTGCAAGTATGATGTTATTCGAAGACAACAGCAATTTTAAGTGAACTTTGTCCCTCAATCCCTTGAAATTAATATCTACATACCGCGTCATCTCGTCTCCTTTCATTTCGACCACTGGACCAGCTGGAATGACAAGAAATGAAACCGATTTGTAATTCTCCCTGTTCGACTTAAGAACAATGCGATGACATAAAAGCTCACATAGTTTTCATACTCACAGAAACGCCATCGAAACGAGAATTGTTAGACTATAAAATAAATTGCTATAGCAGCTCAAAAATCTATTAATTTAATTTAAGAAAGGATCGTTTCGCTAATACCTTGTATCTTCGCCATACTGTGTTAAACAGAACGAAACGGAGCTTTTACTATCAGTTGACGGCTTACTCCAGACACTCTTGCAATAAATTACGAAATGTACTCAGGTGAACGTCACTCAAAGTATTTATGTTTCACAACGATTTTCCCGTGCAACCTTGCGTGTGTTGAAGTCGAAGATCTTATAGGGAAGAGCTCAATATTGTTTGGCTTGCTGTTTGGATTAGGCCAAGCCTCGCTAATACTAGAACCGAACAAGAGAGACTGATTTGTCGTGATAACTCAAAATGTAAGAATTTAGAACGCTCTGAATTACCACTTCTGTCGCATGTCGAGGAATCAGAATGCAACGTTCTGATGCATGTTAATTATTCAAACGCTTTTTGTTTGACAAATTGTGCTGGCAAGACCGGACAGCGCTTCGAACACTTTCGTTATAGGTAGTTTCATTCTGCTTCAAGCCAGAGTCTTGGCGTGTTCCGAGCGTCCAATTTGCAGTGATAACAGAAGCTAAGCCCTCCAAAATAGTGGATAGATTTCACAGCTGCTAGTAACTAAGTTCGAGTCAGGAGACGCCCCTTCCTTAAAAAAAACAAAACAAAACAAAACAAAAAAAACAGAAACAATAAATAAATAATGACGTATTCGGGATTTCCTTTCAAAGATGATTATGTGTTTCTTTTTTTTTCGTTATGGTTATTTTAACTATTATGATGATTTATATTTTGTTTTGTTTTTTTCTAGTGGTCTTTTGCATTGTCTGAGCTTTGTTTTCTTTTCGATTTCGAAATCACTTCAGCGAGAGGAAAATTTTATAACGAGCCTCTTACTTCTAGGACCTCAACATCAATTATCTTTACTGTCTGCCATAAATATCCTGTAACTTAATGGACTCTAATAATTTGTCAGTAAATCAAGCAATACTACCGAGATGATGTTTCCTTTTCTTCTGCCCGGATGATGAAAGGAGAACTTACTTATTGGTCATCCCGAGGTTGAAAAGGTAAACAAATTTAAGACAATATTTCAGATTTATTTGCACTTCTTGAAAGCGAAAAAAAGCAAACAAACAAAGAGAAAATTAACCTGTTCGCTTGTCATGGCAATCTAGTGACCAGAATTATCGAGATCGTATTCCTTTGTTACCAAGGAGTCTTTTTTATTCTCTAAACCTGAATCCTTGACTTTGTATTAAACATAAGGAGAGATTTACAAAGCGAGCACTCCTCACAACCAAAGAGTTGATAGAAATAACTATAATGATATAATAATAATAAAATAATGATAACAAGAATAATTGGCTGAACTGGGCAGGTTATATCAAAGGGGTAATATTCGATTAAGGAAAACAATGATCAGATTATTTCTAAGTTTTACGAGGAGCTACAGCTGTTGGCTTCTGTTCTATCGCAAAGGCCTTAGAATTCAAAAGACCTTACCTCTTCAAGCGCATTTTTAAGACAGGATGCTGCTTTCGGATTTGTTTCAGAGAATTGCTTTGAGCAGCACTTTGCATGTGCTGCGTACCTACTCCGAGGAAACGGTTGTCATGGTAGTATCTAACACAATCTGACTCCAAATAAGGCTAACAACGTCATTACTGAGGAAGATGGCGGTCACATACAGAGACTATACCCTAAATTCAGCTGTGATTTGCTAATATTTCCCCATCAAACGCTTTTATAAGAGCAGTGTTGTGAAAATACAGCCACATTCTGTATATGTGATGATGTAAACCAAGATCGGTCGTTTTTTTTGTTCGCAAGGTTTTCCCGAAGATAGTTATGCGCACAGCATGATGCGGTTCGTAGAGATACGAAGATGAGTTTTTCAGCTTTTTACAGATTTAGCCCTTAGCGTGGTGGCACAACAGAAAGTAAATTCCTCGAAAAACCTCAGAAGTCGTGCAGTTGATTCCAACTAAAGGTAAGATAAATGAAGCCCTAAACTTAAAAGGAAGTCTCACCACCTCAATTAAGATCTTCGTGTCATTAATTTTTTCCACGGTTTCCATGATACCATTGTTTTCACGCTTGATGTAATGTCAATTTTCTTCGTTAGTTGTTTTACTCTTCGATATAGAGCGAACTTTTGAACTAGTCAATTCAAGGATGCAATTTTTTCGGGAATAAAGGGAATGATACCAATTTTTGCTCCAAACCAAATAGTATGAACTTACACAAATAAGCTTTGCTACTAATTTCTGTCGAGGAAATATCCATGAAGGTCGAGCTAAATTATTAATCATATTTGACTTGGTTTAAAATTGAGGTACGGCAGGTCGAATATATGGATCTTCCCTGGGAACGATTGTGTGACAGGTGTTATACCAGTTTGTGCAACTTAAGTTTGAACACACATCATGTACTCAAGGGCAGGCTTTTAACTTCAGCCCCATAGGTAAATGTGTGCTGAGTTATCACCTGAAGTATTATCCCATTTATAAATAGGGTCCTCGATTTGTATATGACCATTTTCAATGGTGGTAAAAGATGCTAAAATTTAATTTTTATTTCACACTAAGAAATTGGGTTTCCTGTTTGTTGTCACATTTCATTAACCTTGCAGCTGACCAGTGCAAACTTCAATGCTAAAATTTTTATTTTTTAAACTTTATTTAAACACGGTGTTTTCATTTCAGGTACAATTTCTTAGAGAATTAAAAACCCTGAACAAACTAACAAAGGAAAGGCTAACTATTTGTTATAAAATCAGTAAACCTGCTCTACAAGGATGTTGATGTACAGTATGTAAGATAGTGCTGATTAATCTGGCTTTGGAAAGTGTGGTTTTTCAATTTCATTTTTAATTCGTTGAGAGAGTTTGATTCTTTTACCTTTATTCCATAACACAGCTCCCCTATACCTAAAACTTTGTTTACAATGATTAGTTGGAGGTTGAGGAATAGATACCTTTAGCATCCAGCATTTCTGAGATTGTATGTTAGGACTTCATCATGCAGACAAAAGTGAGAACTCAAGTAGATTGGAGTCTTCTTGGTTATGGTGTTCTTCTTCATAATTGCTTTACTTATGGCCTGTCAATGATATTAAGTTTATTTTAATTTGAATTACTTAAAACCTCATTAGTATAACTATCATAATTAGAGAAGGGTATGATATGTGCTGCACAATTCTGTAGCCTTTGCAGTTCCTGAGATAGTATGACACATAGAAAAACAAAAATCAAACTAGAGCAGTTTGAAAAAGATTCATTCTAAGCCAAGGAAAATTTTGAACCATAGCATTTATATCTACCATATTATTACACAATATATGAATCTCACTGGCTTATTTAACAAAACTTCTCATTCTTATTTCTTATTTGACAAGAATCATGGCTGAAGCAGTCAAGGTGATTGTTCGTTGTCGGCCTCTCAACCAACGTGAAAAGGACTTGAATTGTGAGGTTGTAGTTCAGATGGATTCCTCTACAGGGCAGTGTGCTTTAAGCAAACCTGGAGATAAGACACAGCCACCAAAAACTTTTACGTTTGATGGTGCATACTATATCGACTCTACTACTGAGACCATATACAATGACATCTGTTTCCCACTGGTCGACGGAGTGTTAGAGGGATACAATGGTACTGTGTTTGCCTATGGTCAGACAGGATGCGGAAAGTCATTCAGTATGCAAGGTATAACTGACCCTCCCACTCAAAGAGGTGTTATCCCACGTGCATTTGAACATATTTTTGACAGCATTCAAGTTGCAGAGAATACCAAGTTCTTAGTTCATGCCTCTTATTTGGAGATTTACAATGAAGAAATCAGGGATCTTCTTGGAAAGGACCATAAAACAAAGCTGGAACTTAAGGAACATCCTGATAGAGGGGTCTATGTCAAGGATCTTACCATGAACCCTGTGAATAGTGTGCCTGAAATGGAGAAGGTTATGGACCTTGGAAGTAAGAACCGTTCAGTAGGTGCTACTCTAATGAATGCCGACTCATCAAGATCCCATTCAATTTTTACCATAAACATAGAGATTATGGAGACAGCTGATGAGAAGGGAGACCACATTAGAGCTGGTAAACTCAACCTTGTTGACTTGGCTGGGAGTGAGAGACAATCTAAAACTGGCGCTACAGGAGACCGGCTGAAGGAAGCCACAAAGATTAATCTGTCACTTTCAGCTTTGGGAAATGTTATATCTGCTTTGGTTGACGGAAAGTCAACCCACATTCCATATCGGGATTCCAAGTTAACCAGACTGCTTCAGGTAAGTATATTGTGATTTCTGTCAAGCGAAAGTATCTATCTTCTGAGCAGAGTTCTTTTGATCTTAGAAGATATTGGAAAGCTCTAGACTTTGATGAGTGTGCTCTACACTTTAAAAAGTTTTAGGGAATATGAAAGGCAACTTTTCCTTTGCAACCCCAGTAGCACACATGTGCCTCATTATGTTTTTTTTCTGAAGTATAAAGTGAGAATATTGCCAATTCTACTTGATGGGTGGCATCATTTGCATTTGGAAATAATCACCAGTTGGCTGGTATCTAATTATTCATGCTCCAAAGTGGAGGGAGGCACTTGGAGAATCAAGTGTCATGCACATGGATGCATCAATATAACTCTAAATAGGGCTTACCCCTTTGCCTCCCAGAAGTGATTAACATGTAAATTCTCCTTGTAAAATCAATACATTATCCACCACACAGGTAATGAGAATACTCAAATTTATCATGTACAAGTTGTTGTTTTTCTCCAACACCAAATTCTTGTAATTGATTTACAAGGAAATGTGAAGCAGCTAGAGGGGAGAATTAACAATCAGATCTCGGGAGTTAAAGGGTTAACTGGGAATCTGTTGATATGGAGTCCACTTAGTGACTGTGTCTCCTGCAAAATTCATGTTATAGTTATTTAAAATCCCTTTGTGCAAGGTCATTTCATTAATGGTCAAACCTAATGGAATCATTGATAGAGAAAAATGTTTTGACCTTTTTAGGATTCCTTGGGTGGAAACACCAAGACATTGATGGTTGCCTGTCTAAGTCCTGCAGACAACAACTACGATGAAACTCTGAGTACCTTGCGCTATGCAAATCGTGCAAAGAATATTAAGAATAAACCTAAGATCAATGAAGATCCAAAAGATGCACTTCTAAGGGAATACCAAGAGGAAATCCAGAAACTTAAAGCA